TTGTTATTTTTTCACATAAAAGAAACGTGAGATTTTAAATATGATTAGAGGTAAATAGACTTGATTGCTTTGAATGGTGTTGGTCGTCGGATTATATTATAAATACATTATACTTATAATTGTTCTGCTAGAACAACAGCAATGACACAGCTTGTTTAATAACAATGATTACTTTAATAATTTCATTTCATCTTACAACACCAACAATAATTTATTTAATGTACTTTGTGCTTTAAAATGCTGTAGCAATTGCTTTAGCAGCAGCAGCAGTAGCAGCCGTATCTTACAAAATCAGCATTTCGAGACCAGTTTTTTTTTTTTGCAAAATCTGTGCATTATCCAGCCACGAAAGTAAAACAACAAGAAATAATCTAAATATTGTATAACGCCTTAGAGGTGTGTGCGGAGAACAACTCATTGAAATTCATTCATAAAAAATTCTGAATTAACACTTTTCTCTTCAACACCATAGGCTGGAATTTATAAGTGTGATCGACAAAAATCGTTTACGAGAAAAACAGTTCGCTTTAAATCAAGCGTTACAAGTACCGTTCGTGGAAACGATTCCCAATGCACTGATGTCTAGACGAACTTTGCGCATACATACGGATAAATAAGTTGGCCGTTGACTGCTGGGTTATGGCTGCGCCCTAGCATTGACAGAAAGCAGCAAAGCAACATAGGCAGCAAAATAACAGCACAATATCTTTCAGCTTCGGCCAGCAGAACATTGGAGTTATTGCTTTACGGTCTACACTTAATGAAAAGTGTAGTAAAGTTAACAAATTCTAGTGTAATTGAGTTTACGTTAAGTACGTTCTTTAAATGAGTACAATTTATGTTTGTTTACTAAAAGCAGCGTTTTTCAAACTAATTTATTGTCTGTAAAATGTAAAACGTTTCGTTTATAGCGTCACACTCACAGACTATCTCTGCTCCTTAGTTCATGGTTCCCTAAAATTCTTCTTTCTCGATTATCTAAATTTCAGGTTGTTTATATATCTCTACAAATTCATTCAAACTCGATCCTCAAGCCTTTTAACTGAATGGCTGCAATTTTCTAGATCGAACAGAAACCCTTTCATATCAATACCACGTTTGTCTAGCTTATCAGCCGAACGATCTTTTATTGATTCGAAATTTTATTGTTTGTATTGCTACATATTGGAATGCCTTATCACTGAGTCTGAAATAATTCAAAGATTCTCTGAATACGTTTAGAGGAAATTAACAGCACTAGCAAGCTTATAAGATGGATTTTGTTGTTGGTAGGAACTGATAATTGCAAACTTTATGGAGCAAGATGACTACATTACCAACCATCTGGCTTACTTATATATTCACTGATTTTTGGTAATTTTCAGAGTGGACTTATGTTATAGTTTCTTTTTGCACGAAACTGTATCTCTTCAACTAGAAAATAGGCTTAGGGCTTTCTAGTGTGTTGCTTAATAAAAGAATAAATGAAATAAAAATGAAATGTCGATAATTTCAGTGAATCAAAGTTTCTCATCGTCATGAAAGCTTTTTGATCCTATTAGAACAACTGTATTCAGTTTGAAAAAAGAAATCAAAAGATGGACATACATTGTCCTTTTACGATATTGACCCGAACCATGTAGGAGAAACTCCACGACATACATTCTTGATCAACGATTTCATCGTAATCGCCTAGACATTAAGGAAAGCAAGCTGTAACTCCTTAAAAATTGTTTTAAAGCTCTATTTATTTGGCAATACTCCTTGCAGACTGTACATTAAAACACGTATTTTACTTTCAAAAAACAAAAAAACTTTGTAGTCGGAGAAATAATCCTTGTAGGAAAAAAATTATTTTTACAGAACCTCGCTCCTGACGCTGATACTTTTGATATATATGCAATGTGTATGAATTTGGTTATGCGCTGAAAAGGCTCAATATTTTCTATGTGCTAGGTTCAAGGCAAAAGGAGGCAAAAAAAGTCGGAATTAGTCAGAAACAAGTCTATAAAAGCGGAACCGGTAAGTTGATAAACAAATGCTGATATACCATTTTTTATTACGACTTTGTCTTTTTGTTGTTTGTGTATACTCTTATTATTGGAACTAAAGGAGAACAGAAGAAAACTGTACATTCGTTATGACAACAAGACCCGGAAGTACACGAAATATTGATATTTCCAATTAGAGAACATAAAAATAGGTGAGATATCAATCTGAGAAAGTTTAACACATAAACTCATCACATAAGCAAAATTACTCGAAAAAAATGTTTCGAACAATTTTCAACTTTAAAGGTATTCTTAAGAACTTTACTACGCAACGATTAGGAACATCTGATCTAGAAAAATGTCTCTTTGTTTTCATTCGCTCTTAGAACTTGTTGCTGATCACTTCAGCACTAATAATAAGTGTTACTACATCTCACTTAGCATACGAGTATTTGGTGACTGCATTTATTAAAACGTAACTGCGCTGGCATCGTCGAAGGGCAGAGGCTTTTGCATACCGCTTTTTTTTTCTTTTAATTTACGACAACTTGAGTAAAGTATGAGTGCTTATGAGAAGCATGAGGAAAACTTTCAGTTTATTTAGTTTATTTCAAAAGTAATTGAAATTAGTTAGGGAGACGCTAAAATACTGACTGACTGACGTTCAAAAATGTTGGGAAATTTTCAAGATTTTTATATATAGTTTTTAATGAGAATTGATATTCACCTTGATACGAATCACGAATGGCCGCTACATCCCCTATACGCAATATAAGACTTATTTGTCTGTTTTTCTTCTTTTTTTTTTCAATAAATAACACTTCTATCTGAATCTACGCTTCTTGAGTATCCTTGTGGTAAATGTGTAGTACTTGGTATTTTTGCTGAGGATGGTGTTCTATTAACAAAACTACGGCGCATTTTAATAATTCAAACTACTACCGAAAACTGACCTTTGCTAAAAAAAAATGTGCCATTAGCAAATCATTATGCTCGTCCCAACGAATGTTTGTGCAGATCACCTAATGCATTTATTGGATTCTTCTTTAAAATACATGTTCAAACACCGTCATGTAAGCGTATTTTTTATAGCGAAATTCATAGAACTGAATAGATTCTTGAATCCAAAAGAATATAATGCTACAACACGACAAAATGTCAATTTATTGGTTTAATATTCGAATAATTTTACTCAACGACGCACATTGTTATACCTTCTAAATATGCCTGCCTGGGGCATTTATAGTGGGACTTTGCTGATGATCTGCAATTCTCAAATCGTTGTCTACAAAATGTGTTAAGTTTAAAATGAAAACAGTTTTCTTTACGTATTTTTATACCCCATACCACTTATAGCACAGGGTATATTAATTTTGTGCGGAAGTGTGTGACACCCGGAAGTGTTTAAGTGTGCCCGGCTGATGTCTGTCATCTAAACTTGTATTTAATCTAAATGTCGTAATTTTTGAGATTTTTTAACGAAATTCGGGAACTCGATGCGCTTTGACCCAAGAACGAAAGTTATTGAAAACGTGCATATAGGTACGACGCCTTATTTTGAGAAGTCTTTATGTGGAAATAGATGCAATTTTTTAAAGTTTCCGTAAAAAGTCGCTGTGTAATAGTATTTCGAAATTGTAAATTGGTATGAAGGCAGGGGCAATTTTTGTAGCCCCCCCTGACATAACTTTCCTAAGAAAACTCAACCTTTACAGCGTAAATAGGACATAGACCTTTTCTTTGCATACCACCGCATGTAAGAATTCTCAGAAAATGTAAGTTTTTCTACGCCAAAAAGGCTTAATTGTTGACATTTTATGACGAAAATTTGCTCATGATTGTCACTTGACATAAAAATTAAATTAAATAATTTAAGCCACTTAGGTCTATTTCTTGGACCCCACTTCATATAAAATTTCTCATGAAAAGTAAGCCATTACAAAAGACGGTTTAATTTTTCATATTTTACAATAAAAACTGGTCCATAGTAGGAATTTATTAAAAAAACTGACAGTAAGAATTTCGGATCAGTTAGGTTTACTTATATACACAAGTAGGGATTCTTATCAGTTAGGTTTACTTATATACATAAGTGAAAAGCAAAACTTTTGTATGCAGAGAAAGTTTAGTTTAGTTATTTTCAAAAGTCGTTGTAGGGAGCAATTATACTGAGTGAAGTAATGTAGGGTATTTCATGTGGAACTATGACCCCTACAATGTTTCCAATTACTAAACTTAATTTGTAAAATTCAATTGAAAATACAAATCCAAACTTTCGAATTTCGGAAAAAACACAATGACAGCTAGATGGGTATGGTTTGAATCGACCTTTCTCATCTTAAACATTAGAAAATCAATGAAGAAATTAGTATCTCTATCATTCGGCAATCAATAAAAATTTATCGGTTATTTCACCATTCAACTATTTAAGACAATTGCGGTATTGAATACATCCCTTCAATGCATGCTAAATTGGCCTAAACATCAAAAAGCGGCTGCGCTAAATAATTAAGACACCCATAGACAATGAACGCAGAAATATTTTATTTTATGATAAAACCTACACATAGGCACGCACAAACTTCGTCTCGCGTACATACGACTCTTAACAAATGAATGAAGATAAGGCAACTGAAAGCACTTGTTTAACATTTACACGCCTCTATACATTTTAAATTGAAAATTCCAAAGAGTTTATTCTTTTGTTTTATTTCTAGCATTAACATTGGTAAAGCTTTTTCATGTGTATGCAGGCCTGTGTTAAGAGTTCAGTTGCATTCTTTATCTTCCATAGAAGATAAGTTTGCAGCCCAAGAAAAGACTAAACACGAATATATGCGTTCATATGTCAGTTGGTTCCATAGACGTATCATTGTTGCAATAACAAAAATAGCAATTTTTCATATCCACCATACTGTTGTGTATGTGAATTAAGTAATGAAACCGGTATAATTGGTTTGAGAAGAATAAAACCAATGCATTTATGCATACGATACTTTTTCTCAGCCTCTCTATGAATTTTTGACTTACCTTTAATCTTTTACTAGCACTGCGTTTTAAAGTATTACAATTGGTCGCGTTTAAATTGGATCGATCATGATTTTCATCAGTACCCTGAGGCATACAACGTCGGCTTAGTTCCACTAACTCAGGCACAGGTTGCACCTAAGAAATGTCATCAATTTTGTTAGTTTGTGATAAGAATTCCTTAAAATGTTTAGCTCACCTCAACGGTTACTGAGTCTTCGCTATTACGTATCATTTCTATGATTACTTCACGAGATAATTCATTAACTGATGTACCGTTTACTTTCAGTAGGCGATCACCAGGTAAAAGACCTGTTGAACCACCGCCAGCACCTGGCTCAGCAAATATGACCGGCTTAAACGCAGGCGCCGTCAATGATTCCGTACGATCTAAGCAAATGGCCTTGCGCAAACTAAAGCCAAAATCTTGGCGTGGAGACTTTTGTCTTCGTATAGTTAATTGGCGAGGCGGTGGTAATTTGACCAGGCGTATGAGAGGTAAGGGAAGGTCTATGTCATCGAACGACTGCACCCTAGACCAACGTTCTATACCTTGAGATTCGCCGACGGGACTAAGGGAGAACGGTGGTGTGGCAAATGAGGAATTTGTTGTATCTGTAAGACTATCTGCACTGGGAGAAGGTGACGTCATAACCCGAAGATTACTGTGCGGTACATGTGAGGTATAACGAGCACTGGTGGGCAAAGTCATAGCTCGTTGTATACCGCCTTCATCGCTACGTAAACTCTCCACCGAAGTAAAAGATGTACAATGTTGACTGGAATTGGAACCTATAGATCCGGCCCCACACATACTACGATTGCCATCAAATAAGAGCTCATTTTGCATTGTGTTACGTATAACAAGTATTTGGGCCTCAGGGGAAGTTACGACAACTTCCTCATGAATATTACTAGCATTGCTGCGAGATCCTTTGAGTATACCACGTTTCGGAGGTTTTGGTGGAACAGAGGACATGAAACGGTTCTGCAAATGTACTTTCACATTTTTAAACACTGTAAATCTAGAAATTAATAAATATGTACCTTTAGGTTATCACCACTGGCATTGCTATGGGGGGACATAGTTTCGGAAATGGAATGTACAGTCGAGCCACCACCATTATGACGACTTTCAATGGTAGTGGTTACAGATGCAACAATTTCCTCATTGCCACGATCCAATTCAACGCTACTACCGTTGTCAGCGTTTAAAGCGGCGAAAAACTCTGCGCTATAATCGGCTGTTATACCACTTGGAAGTTTCTCCTTTTCTTTGCGTCTACCACGGATCTTCAAGGAACGTCTTACCTAAAAACGGGGCAACGAACGCTTGAAAGTGGAATTTAAACAGAATTATTAACAAATGCTACTCACCTCGTCGAGTCGCAGTAGCTCTTCGGTACTCATACTTCCTGGTACACCGGTAGCATTTTTAGCCTCTTTACGCAGCTTCTTTTCTCTTTTACGTTTCTCTTTTTCCTCGCGTTCGGCCTTTTCCCGATCACTTCCTGCTCCGCTGGCTACAGCTACGCCTTTTTTCATAAAATTAAACATTATTTACTCTTTAGTCTACGATTTTTATAAAAACAAAGCTATCGTTGAATCCGCGTTGAAAAATGCATAAATTTCAGTATAAATGAGTATTACGGCATTGATAATTAAACGTCTGGAAGTTTTTAGCAGCTGTAGAAGAAAATGCAAAAAACCCGTATATTAATGTATTATAGAAAATCGACGGAAAACAGTTTTTGGTGGGTGTGACTCAAATAAGAAAGTTCCATTAGCAGAAAAAAATTTTATAATTATATTTTACTAAATTCTGTTTTTGGTACGTTATCTGAAGTACTGATTGAAAAAATATGAATATCTAACAACTATGGTGTTGTCTTGTTATTGTAAAATCAAATTTTCTGTATCGTTGATTATAGTTTTTTCTTTTTTTTTTTTGTGCTTTTCTTTCTCTGTTTATGGGAACAAAAGAAAATTTATAATTCGCGTGTGCTACAGTTAAAATTAATAAAGTTTTCACTTTTTACTGACTTTCAATAATAAGTATTATTTTTCATGACTTTTTCTTTTTTCCACTATATTTTTAAAATTATGATGTTTTTCTTGTACGATGTTTTCTAAAACAGTAGGTAGCAGACATTTGGTTTTGCGGTAGATACATTTGCCCTATCTGGTTTTTTACGTAAGTTGCAGTTGTTTTCAGTTATAACTTTTAAATTTTTATACAAACTCCTAACATTGCTTCGAATTTACAATGCCAAACAAGAAATTGGATCGGAAGAGAATTTTTTTTTTTTAATTTTTATAATTAATTAAAAAACAAGGGCATTTTTTTTTTGTATTCACTGGCAACTCTCCTTAAGGATATTACCGTTATTCAAAGAAACTTTGGCTTTGTCATTGGTATATGTATTATTGATAACATTTATCAAAATTAATATAAGAAAATATAATAGTAATAGAGCCATATGAATGTAGATCTTTTTTATGCGTTTAGTTAACATTTTTCGCACGTTATCGGTATAGCTATTGTTATGCTAAAAAGAAAATATATTGTTTATAATAAATGCATGTATTATTTGTTTTCTTTCTATTTTAAAACGGGAAAGTGAAATTGTTTCTTATTAGCTTTTTTAATAATATTAAAATATGCAGACATAACGCGAAATGATTAAATTGATGTTAGCGACATCGTATTAACATAATTAATATCTATTCGATAGTTTAAGAGAGAAAATTCTAAAAAATTATAAAAAAGCTTGAGATCGAAATAATCACTTTACTGAATCGATTGCTTTGCCGACACTACGTCACTAACTTCCACGTAAAAAAAACATGACATACACAACTCAATGTTCACCTATAAACACACGCATGCACACTAAACTAAAAAATACAAAAATCAATGCAAACAAATATATACTAGCAAGCACCATTCTTTTCTTTGGGCAGTTAATTTTTTTCATCACGAATCAATACGGAAATAAATTCTTTAAAAACTTTTTTTGTGGTGTATACAAACTTCTTACGATTTTCTTTAATAAAATATGAAACTCTAGTTTTCTTTTTGATTTAGTTACCTTACATATGTACAAGCACACGCACACCTTAAAATTCTTGTTTTTTTCTTATTGTTGATTTACTTTTTTTTTACACTCTTTCCTGGGCTTTTAATATCTTTATAATAATGCATTAAATTCTAAACTGCTTCGATGAAATTAGTTGTCATTTTTTATAAAATATCAAACACCGTTTCTTTTGTTTTTTTTTTTTACTAAATAAACAATTAAAATCTCAAAAAATTTCTGGAAGAAAATTCAATGAAAATATGCGAAAAATTTCTAATACAATCTTTAATGAGTTGGTGTTGTTAAGCGTTTTATCATTTAAGACTTGATGCATATGATTGCCTCTGTATGGGAGAGATATGTGGGGATATATTGGGGATTGCAAAAAAAGGAATATATTCTATCAAATTTTGAACATCTGTGTAAAGGATATTTTTATATAAAATAAAAAACTTATGTGATTTATTTGTGTAAGATGACGTATATTTTTAAGAGCAAAATTTACTTCGCTGTATATTCTTATGTGTCCCATTTTAGACTTTTCTGAAAGTAAAATCTGCTTTGCTGTATACTCTTATGAATGGTCTTTTTGCTTCTTTCAGAGAATAATTTTTTCTCTTCACCAATTGTTTATTACTATTTTTTTTTAGCTTTCGTAAGTTTGTTTGAGAAAAATTTTGTAAAATTATTTTCCTCTTCGGGCAGACGATAAGTTCTAGTTCATTTTGCACCTTATCCTACCTATAGTCCCCTTCGGGCCATGATTAGCCATAGAAGAAAGTTACCTTGAATGCAGCTAGTAAACATTTTCGAAACTTGTTATGTAAATAAAATAAACATATGAAATCATTGCAGATGAATCCTGACTTTCAGTTCTTGAAATAAAAATCAGCTAAAGTTTGCTTAAATTAATATAAAGGAAAAGCTTCAGTACTCATGTTATGAGGCACGAAGAATTTGTCAGCAGATTACAAGAAAATTGAAAATTGTGGGAATTAAAAAACGTCTTAGATCGTACCAGATTACAATCGGCACATAAGGACAATTCAAGGAAATTTCTCAAGCACAAAATTAATTTCATTGTATTTGACTCGAAAATTTCGCGTGTGAAATCTTGATAAAGGAAAATTAAATAGAAACAATACTCCACTGTGTGCTTAAACAAAGAAAAGAATTTGTACTTAGCCCACCATCTGCACGCATTTATGGACACTTATTATTATTTTTTATGCAATGCCATCGTCAAACATCTCATTAAATTGACGACGAAGGTTGCTTTATATTTGAACAGTGAATTTGACTATATTTTTGGAATTTTTATAATGAAATACAAATAATTATTATTAATAACTAATGGTTTATTTTTCTTTTTCATTGGCTTAATTTTGTTAACAGCAAATTTATTTTAAATTATATGTTAACACACGGAAATATTGTCCGCACGGAGGGTTACTTTATAAAAAATTAACCTAGTAAATAAGTAAAAATTTACTTCGGACTTTCTTTGCATTCCATCAGTCTTGTCAAGAATATCACAACATAAAATTATAAATAATTCGCAACCAACTTCCTCTTTGCGTTCCATTATTTTTGTTAAAAAATATCGCAATACAAATTTATAAATAGAGTTTTATTTTATTAGATACAATTTTTCTGATGAATGAATGATTCGTCAATTTGCTTACGAACGCTTTCCATCTCTCTCTCTCTCTCTCTCTCTCTCTTACGATATATAAGGACGATTGGTTTTAATTAAAAAAGGACTATTTTAAAAACAGTTATCAGATTTTCTTTTACATAAATCCGTTTATTGTTAATACTTTAAAAACAAAATAAAATATTATAATTATATATAAATTTAATTAAGCTTTTCTTTATATGTTCAGTGCAGCAGAGTTTTCAATCAAGGCAAAAGTCTTCTATTGGTTGCTATTGCGTTAAGACTTTAACCTAAGAATTTATTTATCTGACTAAATTAGTAATAATAATAATATATATATTAAATATTACAGATAGAAACAAAACAAATACTATGTACATATTCCCTTATGGACGTACTACCTTAGAACTTAATATTTATTTATTATTTATTATTATTATTTGTTAATATCATTTAGCTTATTATTAAATTGTTCTTAATATTAAGATAAAAATATTTCATCCATAGGCACTTTTTCGAAAATCAAGTTCGAAATGTCACGAAATATGGAGCCAAAACTTTTCGAATAACCACCTTTCAATTCATTAAACACTGTTTCCCAGTTATCATTTAAAAAGCGATTCATAGTCTGAGAAAGAAGAGCATCGTTAAAGAGATTATCGAAATGCATATAAACACGCCTCGGGTTCATTGTGATTTGATAATCATTTAGACGCATATAACGTCTTCCATCCTTCTCATAGGGTTCACCAATCAAACGATGTTCAATTTGCGCGTCGACAAGGGTGAGATTACCTTTTCCGCTGCCAGTAATCGGTAACAATAGAATGCGTCCCGACATTTCGTAATCGCCTAACATTTCAATGCGTTTAGTTAAGCTGTCACAGACAATCAAATACTTTTCCAATTTGGTTCTATTAAAGAGATTTGTTACATTTGTTGTTTGTGCTTGGGCATACAAAGTTAATGATATTACCTATAACGTTGTATTTTCGTGCTGGATATGATATGATGAACTTGAAGATTTTTTAAAGTTTGTTTAAGATTAATTGGTGGTGTCCCAGCTTCAACAACCAATGATTTTACGTGCAAAGGATCTAAGATCGGTATATGAAAATCTTCATTTCCTGCGAGCAATAAAGGAGATATTAAAAGCATTTTTATATGCGCGCGCCGCCATTGATTCATTCTTACCTGATTTTAAAACCTGTATAGCCTCATTGACTGCATCGACGAGGCATTTATCAAAATTCGCGTCTCTTTTACATTTACTAAATGATTTAGCTGAAAATACAAGCCAAGCAACATAATTTATTAGCTATGCTGGCACATTTCGATAACGAAATCTAAAACAATACTCGTTCAGGAAATAAAAATATTGAAAATATAACTTGTGATGCATGTTAGCACTCATCCATGCATATATTAATATGTTATAAAAATGTTATGAGATGAATGTTTAATTAATTAAAACATTATAGGGAGACATTGCCATGTAGCAAGCAAGCGCTAATAACAAAGATGCGAGAATATATATTCTTTCTTATATAGCGTGTATATTTAAAAGCATTGTAAAGTATCAAAGGAATTAGTTAAAGCATATCCTTCTCTTTGTCTGCTTTTGGAAACCAAGCGGTTGCAAAGTCTTGAAGATTTCGTGTAGGAAGATTAATTTATTCTCAAATTTTTGCCAAAGTTTCAATCAGTTTAAAAGCTATTTGAATTAATCAGGTTAAGCGGAGAAAAGGAACGATCAAATAGTGAAAACTTGTTCTTCTTCTAAGAGTTTCATAGAACTTTAAACGATGCAATAAATGTCTGCCTTATCCTTACAAATTATGAAATATGTTTATGAGATAATAATCATAACTAATTGGAAACCTGCGATAGAAAGACTAGCGCTGCGTAAATAATAAGTGAAATAAAATAAATTAATTGATCCAAGCCGAATAATTCTTCCTTGTTAGATTTTGCGTTTAATGCTTATTTAGATGTGCTACGCAAGTACGGTGTACAAAGGGAGTGGCTTTGTGTTTTCAACGTATATGTACAAGCAATTAAAGTAGACGTGATGTCTGATTTTTAATAATAACATTATTCTTAATTTAAACACTCAAAAAAATTGATGTAAACACATATTGAATTGAATTTATAATGGTTTGATCAGAGTCAAAATTCAGCTGACGCTAAAAGAAAACTTTTTATATAAAAATATAGAGAATATATAAGGTTAGTCAGTTAGTTAGGCGCAATATACGTATCGAAAACACAGCAAGTACATAAAAGTATTTCTGGCTAGCGTATGTAGCGAAATCATTTTAGATTCGTTCATCTGTTCGCCTGGCGACATTACGTTATCAATCTTACAATTTTGTCTGGGGAAGCATAGTTATTCTTACATTACTTCTTATCACTCTTGTAATATTAAATTTAAAAACTCTTTCAATCAGATCAAGAGTTTTTCCGCAATTCCCAATAAATCTAAATATAGAAGCGATAAAAATTACGGTGGGTATAAAACACATTTTCCTTTCTTCTTCTTACTATTAGTGCATTATATCATATCATAAATGTATATCATACAATTTTGTTGCAACTCTTTCTTTTCTCGCTTGTTACATTTAAAAAACGAACAAGATAGAAATCGTTCGCTTCTTAAGAGCGTTGAAATATGATTGCAATAAAAATTAAAGCAAGAACTTGTGGACTCGAGATGTTTTTAAAAATTTGGAATAGAAAAATTAAAAATTTTTATGATCCGTTAAGCTTCTCTCTTATAGATTTTTGAAATCTCTCTTTGCAACCACGATAAATTCATTATCTTAGGTCAGTTATGGCCTGGTTGTTGTTGTTGCTGCTGTTGGTTTTGTACACATAAATATGCGTTTAACTAGCATTTCCATTTAAACGATTTTTTGGCTGCTAAATTAATATCGCTTCTTGTATGCTTTACCTATATCGCCAAATGATTAAAATTAATGTTCGTTTTTTCTTTATATATATAATTTGACATTGAGCAAATATATAAACAACAAGTTTTTGGCATTTTATTGAACTTCTTTAAAGACAAGTTGTTTGGATTTATATGTTTTATAGCAATATGTAAGAGGTTTACTAATACGCTTAAATTGGCTTACACTTTGATATATAAAGCGCTTACGAAAAGGACCGAATCACGACTGAACTTGAAATATTATAATATTAAAAATGTCTTTTTTTTTAGATGCTATCTATCCTTAGAATAATACGCAAATCTAATCTTTTAATTCCACAATACAATATAACAAGTCTTATTTTAATTCACCAGCTAATATCACTGTAGATTAACTTGCTGCTCTCTTCAGGAATGATAGTAAAATTTTATATATTCTTAGGTTTATTTGTTGCAAAATTCAGTTCGTAAGAGTATGTTGATTGATTAATTTCATTTGAATAATATTCGTCCCGTACTTTGGGCGAAGGATGGTTGTTGATCGTTCATCTAGCTTCCACTCTATATGCTTTTCGGACTATATTTGATTTGATTTTTTTGCTGACAAAAGCGAAACTTGCTCTCTCTATTACTCCTTGTTACTATTGTAATTTGGTTATCCTTTGGCGTCTTTTAAATGCAGATGATGAGAAATTTTTAGAGAAACACAATAATTTCTCGTGGCAGCCAAATTCGAAAAATATGCTCCCATCGAAGCTGTTGGGTGAATTATCATTTCCGAATTTTTGTTAAGATCAGTTTGTAATTCCTTAAAATGATTGCCGCAATTACTTGGAAAAAGAATCCTTTACTTGTCGCACATTTCGAGTCTTTTTTTCCTGGGATCTGAGGCTTGATTTCAAGTATTCTCTTGTTCTTGTTTGAAATCGACACGTATCAGCCCATCTCGCAATAATCGCTTGACATTGTACTGTAAGAGTTCATACTACTGCCACACAATCTTGCTTTTTCCTTGACGGATAAATGACTTAAATAAATCACTGAACTCATGCTGATACTTGTGTGTAGCGTTTCGTAAATATGTAATACACCAGTAATTACTTATCTAAATCGAAAATTAAAATAAATGGCACTAAATCTCAAATGCTACATTATTTCCCTTAAATGAATCTTCTAAGCACGTTCGCCCCTTCACTGTCTTTCGTAGCATATAATATCAACAAATATGTTTTTCTAAATCTGCGGACCATCTCTAGGACTGTCTTCGTAACAAACTTACATTTAAAGAACATCGAAGCCGTGAAGTCATTGAAAATGAGGACCTTGCATTGACATTGTAATTAAGACTCGCTCATTTAATTACTCTCGGATGCTTCCAAATAAAATAAACAAGACATGAACGCATTATTTTTATTTTGGAAAATTTAAGCTGTAATGTGCGGCTTTAACGATCTCGTACGCTGTGATCTAACGAAATTGATTAGTAGTTCAATAAAGTTTTTGTAGTTCACCCAACTATCTTGACAGCTTGGTTAGGGGATTTGAGTGAAAATTTCGCTCATTTTGAAAGTTTAATTAAATCCTTTTTTTCTTTTTTTTCAACTATCTTGAAAATTAATTAATTATTTGTTCGTTTTCCACAATAGTTTATTTTGTTTTCATCGGACGCTGGCAACACTTCTTCTGCCATGGTTTGTCCATAGTAGTTAAGCAGACCTCTTTATCAACTTCATTTATGATATAGGGAAAATGTTTTCCTTTCAAATATTAATTAATTTACATAAAGTCATGTTTTGCTTATAATATTTTGTAAAAAATTCCTGAAAAGTTCTATTGTAGCTATATTTTGACTTAAATCGCTCCGAGATTTCGTTTAGCTTAATTCTGTTAACGGTTTAACAGAGCTCTATAAAAAGTTCTTGCTTTGGGTCTTTGCTATTTATATTTAAATACAACTTCACACCTTGAAAACGTTTTAATTTACGCAGTAGCTTCTCCTCTTAATATTGTGCAATCCGCCTGAGTAGCCGAAGGCGAGGAATCTCGACTAGCGAAATTAATAATAATAATATTGTGCATTGTTTATAATAATTAAAATTGTAAAATTTAATAAAGAGATTTAAAAACGACTTCTATTTGCACAATATTCCAACATTAGAGCGCCGCGTACGTATGTTCACTTTACGCGAATTTATTTATATATTGTTCTTACAATATGTACGACACAAAGGAGTTTTTTTTAAGTCAATAGTATTAAATAAAACTTTTCTAAAATAGTATTTAGTGAAATTGAGTGAAATGAACTCGTAATAATTGTACAGTTAAATCGGTTTTTGTGCTATGTATTCCAAAGCGCTTTTTATTTGTGCGATTGTTTTTATGCAACTTTTTGGCTTTATGCGATTTCTGTCATGCAACATTTTTTATGTGGCATATACATTTAAGGTCCTTTTGGTGGCCTGCATTGTGTACTTTAACATACGGTATAACTGATTGCTTTTTTGAGGCATCTCTGCTGCATGGTAAAACTTGGTATTTTTGATACTTGGCTGTCTTTTACAAAAAATCCCTGCTAGCGGTTGTTTTATGACTAACGAAAGAATCGGGAAAATCAAAGTCATCGAATTTAACCGTCTTGTACTTCGCGTTACTTCACAATTTTCATCAATATATGTTACTGGCCAAAATTTATGCAAGCACCTATTATATTAGGTCGTATTGAAAAGTCTCCGCGATTTTGTCCGCCGTTTCGAGGTTCTTTTTGCAGCCCGCTCTTTTCAAATTATTCCGAACTGTCATGTCGTTGATGTTTAGTGCCTCCGCTATTTCCTGACAGCTTGAGTGCCGATGTTTTTCCACTATTTGCAAAATTTCATCGAATTTTTCAGTGGCTGCGAGATACATCTTTGACTCTGAAATTTTCGGAGCGAAATCGAACCATTCCTGGGCCTTCACTCACAGCATTCGCAACGCATAGTTCACAATTTTTTTTTCTTTTATCTTTTTTACCTTTTGTACAGTAAAAAGGCATCACATAGCGTATTTCTTCAGACATTTCGCTCATTTTCAAATCAATATAAGTTTTTACACTAGCAAAAATTTATAAAAGTACCTGCACAAAAAATGTAAGATGTCGCCTTTCAACTAAAGGTTCATTTGAGACAATCAGGTGAGTGTTGCTCGCTATATAGACATTATTCATCCATCCCGCGGAAAAATCAGCGCGAAATTTTCATTATGACCTATTATTATATCTTCATCTGTAGAATAAGGAATCAACATTTTTTAAATGTTTCCCTGTGTAATATAATTATTTATTTGGTTTTGGAAGCACTTTCTCGCTATTTCATTAAGCCTTGACGTATTTTTTAAGTGCAACTTTTTTGTGCGATCCTCCTTCACCGCATAAAATAAATTTGCTAAAGCTGTTTATGAAGTTTCCGAACATTTTTTTTGTTATGTTTTTTTCTTGCAATCTCAGGTTTACTTGTATTTTATTCTTTCCATTACATTGCATGCTTTGCATTGCACCGTCTATTTGCAGAGAGACTAACTAAAATGGTAAGTTAAGCGGTAATATCACCTTAAATTCATTACAAATAGCAATATTTGTAAACTTGTATATAATATAATGGAAAGGTTTTTTTCATTTGACAGTCAAGCTCTTAAGATACATGACACAATTTTTGCAGCACCACTACTGGTCATAATTTTTGAAAGGAAGCACTACATTTTTTTTTAACTAATTCGGAAAAACGCTTAATTTTAAGCCGGACTTCAAGACCTAAGTAATAAATTTGGAGTGTTATTGAAAGGCACAGCAGTTTTGTTAATATATCAAAATTCTTAACGCCACGACATTCTGGAAGAAATATCAGTGAGTTAGAAGACGACTGAAGGCTTACACATAAGCGGTTCGACGCAATATTCCTTTCGAATTTGTGGGCTTGCATCAATTTTTTGAGATTAGAACCTGTTGGTAACGTGTTACGACGTGTTACGTGATTACGATTATGATTATCATAATTGTCAATTTTTATCAAGAAGAAATTGTTTTATAGTCGGCATCAATATAGAGCATTTGATGGCACACGTCATAGGAATTAAATAATAAATTTTAGCAACACTCAATTTAACCTAACTAACCTAACTAACTAGCCAAGCTAAAAACGTACAAATTGCGTCGCAATGTTTTTCAAAACTTTTCAGACTCTGATTTTCAAATCCAGATTTTCAGCAAAGAGATTTTAAAACTTTAATCTAAAAAAGTAATAACTGCTTTCTGTTTTGCTGATTAAAAAAAAAACTATCAGATTAATTTTATTTCAGTGGGAAAACAGCTGATGTCGTCAAAATGGTTTCAGTGAACAAGTGTAGACAGCAACGAATACTTTGTATATTTTATAGCACATCTATATGCTCAGCTATGAGATTTGCTATTTAGGTTACCAAATCTAGCATTTATATAACATACGCTCGTGCCGTCTAGACATTTCAAAGCTATTTAAATGGACTTTCCGCTTGTTCTACGCTATAAAATGCTTAAAAGAGTCTAATTTTTGACAGACGCAATGTCTTACTTGCTTCCTGATATTCTGAAAACTTGTTCTACAAAATCCTCGAATATAGTTATTTAGTTGGTTCACGTATACGGCTGCATCAAACGAAGGACAACGACTACACTATTTTAGATTAGCTCTTTATAAGCGCAACATTGTATTGATAACTTTGCAGCCAAACTGAGTGGTTCTTCAAAGCTGCTTAACCAAATTATTATCCAAATTATTATCGCTTAATTTCTTAGACAGATTTCAGTAATGAAATTGTAAGTAGTTTGAAATTCCTCGGTTGAATATTGACAATAACTTATGCTTTGATAAACACAAAAATTCCTTTTAATCGCTTATTACTTGCTGCCTAGGGAGTTACAACAGTTTAGGTGCTCTCGTCTCACTTACAACCGTAAGCTTTCAATCGCCGGCGCCAATAATGAGTTTACCCAGCTAGTAATTTATTACAGCATTGGGACGAAGGTGTGGTGCGTGCTATGTGTTATTTCCTTTCCTATTAGCCTGTTTACCTTTTGTTCCTTTTCTTGCTCTTTACTTTCAATTTTCTTTTCCTTTGGATGTTTTAAAAACATTACGCAGTAATGTGCTTTATAACCCATGGCAGACATTGCAATCCATAATATCATAACAGACGGTAACAGCTTCGCGGTTACATAAGTGTAAAATAATAAAATAAAAATAATGCTTCTGATAAGATAAATTGTCATCTAAGGTCTTTTAAATTTGTCCTCAAGGGACATTTTGATTAATAGGACGTTTTGTTATTTAAAAAGTGACGCTTAAAAGATTACTTTTTGACTTTTGCTCCTGCATACTCCGCTAATAACTGAAGGCTAAAGAAAGTAATCCATGTCCATCTCTGGCTTAGTAGCCCCCTGTGTACCCTGTTCTTCATCACAACATCAATTAAGATGCTCAGGGCAAATGTTTGTTTAATAAAATTTAAATTGTCTAATTTCGAAATGGACTCATAGACGTATGTGCATCATACGCAAAAACACTTGAACATTTTTGTTATTGAATATAAATAACGTGAAGTTAAGTAAAACACCAAAAATTAGTTTAATTCAAACTCGAGTTTAGACGTTACTTAAATACTCATTTTTATTGCCAAACTGTTTACTTACGCAAGTCTTTTGCTGCTACTGCAACATTAATGACGAATGCCGTTACTGATAGCAATAATAGCAAAGTTACGTTTGGCAGTTTCGCTTGAATCACGAGCTTACGCATGCTTACATGCATTTTTGTGTCTCACTTTTTATTTCTTTCACTGAATTTTTTTCTGTTTTTTTCCTTTTTTTTGATATTTCTTATAATTAGTAACTTGATAACAACTAGTTTAGGTTTTTTTTTTTTTTAAATTTTTTTATTCACTTTTCAAACAAGCGAAGAAGGAAAACAAACTATATATATAATATAACGTCTGGATGTGATCAGTTTGCCGTAAAGCTATACAATGAACGGAGATGCTCTCGCGTTGAAAGCTTTTATATATCAACAACTAAAAAAATTAAAAAACTAGGTAAAACGTCACAATGACGAAGTTTGCTTTTAAACTATATATGCACATTCATTTATACATATATATATATATATATTTCCTTTTTTTTTCTTATTTCTTTTAATAACAACACAAGTAAATAACTTTTTTTTCATCATTTTTTGTATAGTGTCTAGAAATAGTTTTTAGAGGTCCTCTACAGCTACAGTCGTTAGATGACGGAATTTAGAATAACGTGCATAAATAAAGAATTCAAATTTGATGATGTTGAAAGTTTTAAGCGTTTGAAGACTCTTCTAACGAGAAGCTGAAGTCAAAAAGTGATATTATTACATTTAGTAAATTTTTTTATGTTTTATATAATCTGAATGCGGAAGTGGTCAGATCTCGCAAATTTCTCAGTGGGAAGAATTGTTTACACTTGCATTTTACATGGCTGAGTTACATTTCACTTGGCTTTTATGTCTACGAAAATGCGAGCAAAGAACAAGGTTGAAAAAGATTGAAGATTTTGATTTGCATTTTTTATCTAAAGAAGAACTTTGCCTTATGCCATCCATAAAGAAAATTTGTGCCTCTGCTGAAAACCCTGACGTAGGAAAATTTGATTATGTTGTTGTTGATTATATTAGGGCTTTTCTATGCATTTCGATCCCTGATGTCAATTTTTATAATCGTATATTGCCAGCAGCAGAAAATTAGACCCATAAAATTAATGAAATCGAAATGTAGTTTTTCAGCAAGGATTTCCGCACCCGAATTTCGCCAGCTGCATAGCATGCAGCAAAATATCCCCACAAAAAGACCGCGAAAGTTGTGAGGACCCAAGCAACAATTTTTCTATTAGTACGTAAACATTGCGAAGCGTTCATGCTGTTACGCAGCTTTTCATGGGATATTCAAGCGTTCTCTTATCAGGTCAATAGCAATAAACCTGAATTAACTGAAAGTTGAGGCCCTTGATTACTAATAGTCTTTGAGATATCGAAAGAAGAAGTTGAAACAAATGAAATCAATTGAAGGAAACGCTGTGCCTCTGCACTAAACGAACATTTGAAGTTTTCATATAGTTTCAGATTGTTTCAATTTGTAGGTAACTGCAAGCATGTTTGATAAATTCGAAAATTAAAGACGGCTATAATGATATTACATATGATGTTTTTGAAAATGATTTCACATAATTTTATTAACACCATCAGAGCAAAAGGGAAACGACTTTGAGAGTGACTTGGACGATAAAGTCAAAGCTTATACTGCGTGCTGGTTACCTCGAAGGCCACGCGATTCTTTGACTTTCCAGCTTTGTTTAATTTTAAATCTTCATATTTTCATTGTAAGGTGTCATTCATCAGATTTTATTTGAAGTACTACGAAATATCTATTTACGAAATCAAAAATGCTCAAAATCAACCAACCCATTTACCAGTCATAATCAGTCAATCGTCGTCGAGGAGAAAACAAATGAAAATTTCGCCTTTTCAGATATTAATTCAGGCTTTAGCACAAGTAATAATGATGTTGTGGTTTGTTCCGATACAAATACTGTTTGTTCTTGTGTAGGGCCTTGAAAACATGCTCGCTTTCTTAGCGCGTCCGCCTAATTATATACAACGTATTATACGAAATTTCTTTCTTCAAAGCAACATCTAGGTGTTATATATAACAAACCAGCATGAAACCACATAAAACTTGTCTTTCCTTAATTCATGTCTCTTCCAACCCATCTATATATTACGTATTCATATAGGCAATGACACACATATATGTATATAAATACGATTTACAATCACATATCAAATGCAAATATATTCTGCCACCTTACTAATCTATATACATTTACATGCGTATATAATAGACTTGTGTTGTGTATACATAGTCTTAACTGTTAAAAAAAACTCTCAGTTGTTTAATGTTGTTTGTTGTGTAAAAAGCTTTGGCCTATATAGTCATAAATATGCTTTCCTCTACTCTCTTTCTTTCTTATTTCGATTTATTCAACGCTTGTTTTTACAAAATTTGACGGGAAATTTCCATAATATTGCGGTTTGGTCATTTAGTGCATTGCTTACCATTGTTTTGACCATATTCACGTGCTTATTATTGCACGAGCTCTTATACAACATTCGCACTGTAACTGTGCTTGCATTCGAAGGTATGTATATTTGGTTAATTGTAATTGTAATTATTTGCCCTTCTGTTAACGGTATTTCGCTTTACAGTTCGTTGAACCTCTTTCATCCACATTCATTTACAAAGGATTACAGTATAATAATTTTCTCATTCAGTTTGGCACTTTCAGAAAAAACTTATCCTAACACCATATTCCACCATTTTGCCAATCTGTTAAGCTTCATAGGAAATTCCTAAAGTCGTGAATATTTTAATAGAAAAATTGAATTGGGCATATATATCCAAATCTGCATTTGTACGATCTTTCTGAAAAAAGCTTTCAAAAAAAAGCTGATTCAAATTTTTTGGAATTTATGCAAAGCTTTTACATTAAATTGAATCTTTGCTTTTAGCTGCTCATCTTAAACCAAACCTAAAAGGGATGTGATCTCCTGTCGTTGAAAAGGACGATGAGTACGATAACCATTTCTTTAAACAATTTTCCGTTAAAGTACCAATAATAAGACGATCGAAATTGTATTCGCTTAAATTCTGCAGGTATTCGAACTAGATTGGGGTCAGTTTGTCGGATAAGAATGAAAATCATTCACGCCCATTTACGTTTTGTTCACCAATAATGATAATTGCAACCCAACGGACAAAACCAACCCAAGCTCATATCAAAAATTAACAAAAACGTACATATTTATGGGACTACTAACAAAATCCTATTCTGCTTCCATGGATGTAAAAGATTTCGAATTTTAACTCGGGTATTTAGGAAATTCACTGGTGCGTCCAAAATTCAGTGTTTTCATTGCCCCATCATTCATTATTGTGAGTGACGAAATTTATTCTAAGGATTAAGGCACATATTGCTAAGATCTTCAGCAGGTGAAGACCTTTGCCCAGTAGTTGCCTTTTACAAAGATTTTGCCTCTGTTTCCATAAGCTAAGAAACGAGCCAAATAGGCATTCCCAACAGCAGCAAAGGTTTCTGATGCACCGGCTGCAATGTTGTCTTTCTAAAGGAACTTTTCATCTAAAATTAACTGTTATGGAAATAACTAAAATTTATTCCATTACGAATTGGGGATAGAAAGTGATTATTTTGTATGCCCCAACGTTCGGTTGTATTTAGAATAGAATTTATCGACTCAGAATGCCGTGCTGAGCGAGTATACATGTGTATGGCTTGTCTGATGCACACTTCTCAGTGTTCGAAACCAAACTTAGAACACTATTAATTCCGGCGACTTATAGAGTAACCAATAGTTGTTGTTCTTACTTGCCTTGAAGTACATAACAGCGTAATTTCTCTGCATTTATGTAACAATGAAAACCCACTATTTTATTTAAAACAATAACTGCCGCACAATTACTCTATAGGGAACCGGAAGTTAAGCGATAATTAAAATTTTTTTAAAATAGTATATATGAAGATGCACTTTAAATGTGTAAAAATTCCATTTTTGACTGAAAGAATAAGTTGAAAAGCGAGAGACGAAAGTATTCGTAAAGAATGATTCCAATAACATTTTATTATTTCTCATTTCTTTACACCTTCTCGTTCGAACGGTGAATGGACGGTAAATTTTTAATCTTTCTTGTAAAGTCTAAGAAAGATAGAAGCGATTTTGTGGTTTGCACATGCACCTTTGCCTGCCAGTCTGTTCGGGGCTTTCCACTGGGCCATCACAGTGAAATACGTACAGCAAACACATTGTTGCATTGATTTGGTTGCGCCCCGGTTTTTATCAATTTATAAACAACCATTTGGATAGAGGATTAAATTCCAAATTAAAAATTGTTGCCATTTACAGGGTACCATTTGTTACTCTTTCTCCATGCAACTGTACGCAACTGGGGAAAAAAATGCTCTAATCCTTTCCGTCGTCGACATTGTAATAGGCAGCAGATTGCGACAAGTCGACTAGTCAGTTATTTTTAGTTTATACATGGATTTGTAAAATGTGTTAGGACAATGATAATTTGGAAGCACATTTGCTCGAGTTCGATCCTGCCGAGTCAGGCGGTACTTGAGATAGGGCATTTTTCAATTTTGCTTCCAAATAGATAAGGAATTTTTGTTGCTTCCCACACTGTTTCGTCTCATACTAGTCTATTGATAACCTTCAATGCTAGCTCTTACTTCTTCTTGGTCTTTATGGTGAACCATCTACGTCTATATTCAAACCCGTCCATCAATTCGGAACATATGTGCGGCACCAGAACGAGTAGAACACAGACGGAAATGAATATATTAAAATTTCTAGCGAACCTGGATTACATTGCAAAAGGCATTACAAATTTAGTAGCGTTTCCGACTTTAAAATGAAACGAAAAGACAGCTGCGGTGTTTGATATAAAAGAAATACATATTCTAATCTCCATGGCCACCATTAACTATCCTCCAAAATTCTAAATATTTATTTAGATTGTAAATACAAAATAAAAATGATATTTTCGTTGCTAAGTACCTTGAACCGTGAACGCGTAATGCTTGTTACTTTTATTTCTGAAAATTTTTACGGTTTCATTGTAAAACGTTTCTCTGCCTTGAATATTGAATAAGCATGAATAACAAGACTCAGAAGGGAATATTGCAATATCGGAAAAGATATTGTAATAACCAACAAAAACTTGTTAAATTACCACTATCAACACGAGAACATACAACACAATTTATGAAGTTGTCCTCGAAAGATATTAACCTCAGCCAAGGTTTAGGCCATACGCAAAAAGGCAGCAACGTTGTATATAAAACCCGCAATCTTTGTGATTCAGCATCAAGCAATAACAGTAACAATGACTCTATTACCTCATACGCAAACGTCGCTAAACAT